TTTGATTTTTGAAAAAAAAAAAAACTTGTATATCTTAATTTTGAATTGAAAAGTTTAAAACTCTGGTTGGTTGTAATTTCCTCTTACTAAAATTCTTATAAATCCAAGACAATATTCAGATGAAATCTATTAAACTTTGAATTTAAGACACCTAAATTTCAATAAAATCAATTAAAAATCTGAATTGAGAACATTATCCTTGTTCTTTGTGTTAATTATTTAAATATTTTATTTATATTTAACATTTATTAATAATAAGCCTCAGTCTGATAAAGTTATAAATGATTTATAAAGAGAGAGAGTAAAAAGAAAGTGAATTCTACGAAATATATAGATAATAATAATAATGACGCAAGGGAGTGCCCGTGGGCATGTCGGGGATGGGACGGACAAAGGGGAAGGGACAGGAATGGAGTTGTTGACTCGAACATATCCTTGTGTGGATAATAATGAGGATGCAAGAGGGTACCCCATGGGTATGTCGGGGATGGGGCGGACAAAGGGGCAAGGACAAGGAATGGAGTCCTCGACTTGAACCTCACCTTTGGCCATTCCTATGTGGGGATTCAATCTATACAAGTTTATAATTCCGAGCTGCAAGGAAATCGTGCGGGCACACACATGGCAAGGCTATCCAGACTACTTAAAACTAAAATTATGACTGCAAATCAAAACTATGCCCCACGTTCAATGGCTTCTATAGACAGCTTGAAGCACTCAAAAGTTCTTCAATTAAATCGTTGAAATTCTTCCTATTTTTAATATTACAACGAATTATGGTAAAAAAACAATTGGTCATTGAACAAATTACAGAGAAATAATGGTAAAAATCTACAAGTGGAAGAAATCGAGCTATAATAAACCACACAACCGTAGTAACAATACTAAAAAGGATGGTGAAAAGCTTCGATAGCTTGTTTTAAATAAACTCAGTACCTCATATGACGAATTCTTCAACCATCTGTAGTTTAGTGCATCTCATGCAACATAATATGCACAGAATGAGCACAAGGATCAAAGTGACTTTTTACCCCTTAAATCGGACAACAACGATTGATATATCATCTTTACTTTCTCGATTTAAAGCTTCCATTGATAGTTGCTTGGCTGCTTTCTGTGGGTCATTGATCATCCTTACAAGATCGACTGCCTCTTGATTGGACATTACCTGGAGGATGATGGAATGGGGAAAAAGAAAAGTCGAGTTGTGAACTATTAAAAAAAAGAAGTCAAAAGGAAATGGAAAGACACGTGGAGACGGGGTTGTCACCTTCCATAAACCATCGCTAGCAAGGATCAGGAGATCGGTATCCACATCAATATCAGCATTGGTAATATC